ATTTTTTGAACAAGTCTTTCACTTTTGCATCATATGACGACATCGAATAAATTTTAACAATACGTTCGCGTCCTAGCACAGCCATAAGGGGCAACTCATATTACTCGCAGTAAAAAGCAGCATAAGATACGGACAGTTCGACTAGTTTGAAAGATTGTCTGGGTCCCTGGGTTTCACAGAAACCTCTTTTTGCGGCTGCAGTGAATTTCGACTGGTACGCAAGACTCGTTCACACAAATATGTTCGTAGAGAGGCGGTACTGAACCTCTTCTGACTTTTATTGATTCGAAGGATTTCTCTACAAAACAGCATGTGTTTTGAAGGGGCAATCATTTTGTCTGCTCTCGTGGGAAGGTGGTATGTTTGTTCGCCAGGGTGTGGACACCACCGCCGAATAATACTAAGGAGACACACTGAACACAATTTCACACCCATTTAGATATGCTCTTTTCGCATACACGCACATGCGCGCACATGTTTTTCTTGATCTAATCAGGATGTTTTTGTATCATGGTCCCGAATCGAGCTTATACCGACGGATGCAAGTATCGGTTTACCCTAATAAAACACGCATGTCTCTTGTACTGCAACATAAACATAGATGGGGTGGCATTTATCGGGTAAACAAATAATCAGACAAAAATCATTGAATCGTCATGCTGCTTCTACGCCAAAGTAACTCGAACGAACAGAGTGATCATATGGTAATGAACTGTTACAAATCCATCCAGGGCGGACCAAATTATGGTACAGCTTGGAGTATCCAATTTCATTTGGATCGAGGAAAATATCTAAATAACCTGAGAGCTGGATTCGTCAAATTCGACAAATTCACCCATTTGGCTTTCACGGGAGATCCACTTGGATTCCAGCTAAATCTTTGTTCATGAATGAGCTGCACAAAGGCAGCCTCATGTTTCAGTTGGTACAGCATTCGAGATACTGCAATACATGGTATAGACGCAACACATTTCCAACCAGGTTGTCTACTTTGGAAAGTCAAGAGGAGCCAAACAGTTTCCGATAACACGTTTAGCGAAACAAAGGAATTTTTCTTCATGTTTGTCTGAAAACGACACTGCACAGACACTTCACCAGTGTAGAGGCCTCAGGTTTACGAGCCTCTTAAGTGATTCAAGAGACACAGATCTGTACAGCTGTATAGTGTCCTTAGCTGTTAGTTGACGGTATACTTGTAAAATCGAAGCGTGTTTAGCCCTAAAAAAACGTTTCAGTCAGTGCTTCTTTCTGGATCGTACTAACCCGAAAAGTGTAACAGGATCGACTGATTAGCCCTTTGGAAAGCCTTTCCAATGTTTAAAACACTGCGACATGGCCACTAACTACACACTTGCGCCTAAGGCAGGAACGAATCGAGATTTTTGGTTTGATGGATACAAACACGTCTCATTATAGCCCACTTGTGGCACCCTTAACTCTCAATTAGTATCAGATTAACGCCATTCATTATGGAAACAAAATGTGACTAATTCCTGGAAGGTAGCTTATGGATCATTTGGTTTTAAGTGACAACTCTGCTAGATAACTCATAGTTCAACATCGCCTGATTACACTGATGTAGCCAGCGTTCCTTGAAGAATTCTCGCACACGGATGAAGCCAGGAAATGTTTAACGTTTTGATCCATATCTGCCATGAGCGAAAGTGCGGTTAGTGACCACTTGCTTCTACGATAAACGATTGAATCTTTTAACTCAAAAGAAAAAGCTGATCTTGCCACATCCACCTGTAATTCCAACTGGGGATGAATTTCATTGTAAACTCCACCTTCGAAATCTAACCAAATCTCGTTACCGTAGTAAACACTTTCAAGTCTAATTTCTATCTAATTGATTCCTCGGTAGACCTCCACGAGAAATTTAAAGTTCAAGTATCCTGTTGTGCGAGCTGACTAAACTGCTAATCCACTTTCAAGTCTAATTTCTATCTAATTGATTCCTCGGTAGACCTCCACGAGAAATTTAAAGTTCAAGTATCCTGTTGTGCGAGCTGACTAAACTGCTAATCAGCCGCTCCTAGCCGAAACGTCGTGTTCGGACAACTAGCCGGGATTACGTGGGTCTGAAGCTCCCTACAGGAATTCTGTGCGATGCGTACTGTTGATGATCCCCAATAAGGTTGAAACAGCTACACAGTGCTTCTCGGCTTGTGAGCGTAGATTGACTTCACTAACAGATACAAATCTCGAATCTCCTCAAACTACCAATGAGTGTGCACTTGACTGCTCTTAATTAGACCTTGTCTTATGGCAAGAAATTCATTAACAGAGCTTTGAAATTCTTCCCGTTAGAATACTTAGCTACTCAGCTGCTCACCTAACATTCATGACTTTGTCCCGTACCCAAGCATATTCCTAATTAACTGGATCCTTAGCGTCTTCCACGAGTACTTTTTTAAACAAAGCAACCTTTTAAAACACCAAAAAACGCACTGATTCTGATTGAAATGGATAATAAAAGAAGGCAGAAATTATTTTCTGAAAAACTACTTGCAAACGTTCACTCATTATTCTAATGGGACCACCACACTTACGCTCGTTTCAAAAGTAGAAAATTCAAACTTCGGTAGTAGAATGTCTAGTGTTTCGGAAAGTTTACTTTTTGTTAGACTCTGAAATAAATCACTCCCATAGACTCATATTTGGCATGTTGCGATAAATGAATGGCGCGTATATCTTGTATTGCGGTTTTCAGGTCCCAAGCAAGTCAACTGGAAGTAAATTCCAGCATCATAGTAAGATTGCCTAAGATTTGGATTTTGTCGCTAAGCCCGTATATTCTGCAACCGAGCATACGAGGAAAGCAGAGGGTTTTTCGCGAAATGATTTGGCCATCAGTATGGAACAAGATAATTCCATGCTGAACCCAAAACCTCATTGTCGGTAGAGGTGTCCAAAAAAAGATATTGGACACCCTTGTTTTCGGTGACCCACAGCTACCTCACAAAGCATCACAATGTTACTTCCGAATAAAACCTCAGATTACGATGCAAATGTGGATGAGCGTTCACCCCATGTGGAATTTCCGGCCAATTTTTTATTCAAACCGGAAAAACACTGGTTCTGAACTCAGAACTCCCCCTTACATTCAGAGGCCATTTTCGGCTCTGCTATGTCTCATATTGCTCCAGAAGGAAAAAGAAAGTCTGATGAGTAATTTTATAAAGTGTCCGTCAGAAAAAGCGTCCTTCCATACAAACGATTTTGAATTCAAAGAGTCTCGTGACTGTCCATTGCAGCTCGCTAGTAGAATATGGAATCAAGATAGATCAAAGTGGTATGATACCGTGTGTGTACTTTTAATGATTCATTGAGAAGGGCTGGAATATTAGTTGACTTAAAAAACAGCAGACATACGTGCTGCCAGATGTACTCAGAATTGACGCACGAAGGGGTACTGCGTGTAGTGTAGATGGCTATTGGCTTGTTCGCTGAGCTGGACAATTTGGTTGCAAACGCTTCATCACCAATCGAGGTGACATCATCAGTGCGTAGTTATGGCACAACCACTAACCCACCGCTACGCACAACTACCCACTGATGATGTCACCTCGACTGGTGATGAAACATTTGCAATCAAAGTGCCCAGCTCAGCGAACAAGCCAACGACCATCTACGCTACCTGAGCTACCGACATTCTCCTCTATAGAAAATACTCTAGTGTTTCATAAAACTGTGGACTATAGACCATCTTACACCGATTGTACGAAAGTGACCCGTTTGTTCCCTTATTCCCCGCTATAGCCTCGCTGTTATACGTATCGGAAATTTCCGTATCTCCCCAAAAGCTACCGTCAGAGAGCTGATTCATCTCCTTTTAAATGCCAGTGGAATTTGGGATATTTATACTTTTTCAAACACAGACGCGGAGTTGCTGATTCGTATACGGCGACTACGTTGTACCCGGAATGACTCAGTCTCCTAGTTACTTACACTAAAATGTGTGCTGCCCATTAACTGATATAATAAGAGGATTGTTCTTAGTGGATTGACATTGGTTACATGATTCTCGTGTTAGTTTAATTGTGTTCAGTTGCCCAGTCGCTTTTTCCGGTTGATGCCATAACTCGGAAAAATTCTCGTGAGTCACGAATTTAAAATTTATAGCGATTACTGTACTCCAAACCACTTTAAAAAAGAAAAGTTGATCTTCTAAAGTTACAACTGGACGTGGTGTATGAAATTTCATTGTCTGATTCATGAATTTTACTCCACCTACGATAGAAGCATATTTTATCTACCCAATGTCGAGTGAGTAACCGACCACCTTAAAAATCATCAATAATTTAAGGATTGTGTCACAATCAGTGTGTTCCCACTGAGATACACTGATTGATGCATTGGCTAGGTCGTATATTGTACGGTAAAGTGTACCTCACATGAAACAACACATTATTGTCCCCTCCCGAATGGAATTTTTACGAATTCTCTTAATTTCCATGAAGGGAGAAACGTTTGGCTGGGGAACCACTTTGTTTAATTGCATCCCTTATCATTTTGAGTGAAGAATTTCCCACTTTTGAGGGAACCTTATGATCTACCACTGTGGAGGACTGTTCATCATGAGAACTAACCTTGGAAGGGCTTCTATTTCAACAGTCTAGAAGTGCTTCAGGCGTGGTGCGTCAACTCAATTAATTCACCGTTAACTATTTCAAAAACTAGTCGAGTGATTTGCTGATGGTCGGCACAAATTTGCTGTTAAATTCTTTTGAAATTGTCGCTTCTTCAAGCCGACTTTTAGGCAATAATGAGTTGGTGATTTTACTAGAGATTACCTCCCAAGCGAAGCCAAACTATGCTTATTGACTTTTCACCTTGGACCGGTTTTGTTTACAGGAAGAAAGTTCAAATGGAATAAGTTCTGTGCTTGCCCAATCGACCAGAATTGTTATTTTTCCAAGGTTTCAAGCTTTGATAACGTGATTTGATATCCGCTTCTTTTTGGTCAAGCAAGTAATTGGGAGCTTCTCTCTCTTTAGGTCGTTGCCAAAGATGGAGCTCCCGAACCGTACACTTTGAGTGGAACGGCTTTGGTAGAGGTGACAGTCAATGACGAAAACGACGAAACGCCGGAAATTCGAGTGATGCTCCTCGAATCGAGCACAAGTGGACAAATTTCATCTGCAATGCATCAATCCCAGCTGGAACCCTCAAGCGAACTTTCGGGCAATGGGGCAAAATTTCTCGGTGAATATATGACTTCGATCAGTGAAAATCCACAGCCTGAAACTGTGATTGCTTACATCCAAGTAAGTTCGAGATCAACACGCGAATTTGTCTCATAGGGTAGATCAGGACAAATGTACTGTGACGATGATTCGTTTAGTGCAGCGGTGTTTCAGTCATTCGTGGTGTTAGCATTACAGTACGACAACTGACCCTGATAAGCTGAGGTACAGTGGTTTAAATAGAGTGATTAGCAAGTTGCAAGCTTTCATGCCAAGCAATCACCGCGGTGTACAAAAAACGAAGGGATCTGTTAAGTAAATACCCAAAGGCTGGAAAGGATTGACGTGGTCCACAACCAGTACACAGTCAGTTAATTTCACCAACTAATTTGCGTTTGCGATCCAGGTCGACTGAAGGGCACAAGTGATCTACCAATTTGGGTGAGAGCATGCAGTGCAAGGGGGAATACGCCCGTTTCATCCAGCTAGGATAAACCGCTGATCATTGTGATGACAGGATGGGCTGGAAATGCTGAGGTCATCGTAAATGGTTACCTTAACCAGGTCTACTGGAATCCTCTCTCTAGTGAACAAGTCGTGCAGGTGGGATTCCATTCAGTCACTCGTTAACGCCTGGTGCAGTTTGCCACGACCTATGGTTGGTTCACTGAATGCACGGGGCGAACCTGATGCATCATCAAGCTGATGATGACGAATCAGAATCGAGAGAGTTCTTAATTTTCTCGAAGAGGATCATGTGAGTTGCTATACGGAAAGTTTTCGTCAAATGAGAGAGGTATTTGACATAAAGCTCAGTAATTCGGATGTTCCACTTACCACTGTTATCTCAAGCGTCTCCATAACCAAAATGATTACAAATAAGTGATTGATGCGTCTTGGAAACGAGTCGCCGTGTTACATGGCGGGTCAATGGATCCGGTGATCAGTAGAGGGCACTGTAATGGTGTCTGTCTGTGTTTGATGTATTGTTTTGAAAATGATTACAAATAAGTGATTGATGCGTCTTGGAAACGAGTCGCCGTGTTACATGGCGGGTCAATGGATCCGGTGATCAGTAGAGGGCACTGTAATGGTGTCTGTCTGTGTTTGATGTATTGTTTTGGTGTGTGCATGTGTGCGTGTGTGTGTGTGCGTAGATCTACCAAGTTTGCCAAACCAGCCTGGCTTTGGTTATGCGTCTGTGAAAGCGTGAGTGAGCGATTTGGTTGTTGCGTGCTTGTTCATCTGCGAGGTCGATCCTTCCCAGCTAGAAGAAAGATTGATGGTATCGCTGGAATCGTCGGGTGAGCATACAGTTGAAAATATGCTTCACGAAGGCTGTAGGAGCTGCGGGAATTTCGTCTCTATGTCCACAGAATATCACTTTTGACCGTCGGACCAAGTGGCATCAGTAAATCACCACTAACTTGGTTTTAATGGGGGACTCAGCTGAATCCCAGTTGAATCTCTCATCCGTGATATGCTTCAAGTAGAACATAGGGTACAGAGGAAATCGAGGGCTACACCTAACTGATGAGACCCAAGAATGGTAAAACCGGTCGCGAGTTTTCGGCAAGTTATAAGAAGTGTGTTTTGTCAGTAAAATCTACCCTACTCTACCCTACTCCACTCTAATTTAACCTAATCTCGAATATCGTACCAAATGAAACGTGAGGCAGACATTGTGCAGCATATTTAGCTAATGAATATCATAAACAAAAGATTCGCCTGGGATTCGGTTGAGTCTGCTGTTGTAAGCGACAGATCCACTCTCTCCTTGCTTTCACTTTCATCGATGGCGTATCTCACAAGCGCAAACCGACCTTTGATAAAGAAAAACGAGCATACGGTTTTTGTCTTTAATTACACACTCACCTTCACAAAAATTTTCCAAAAGTTTATTCTCGACACTGTTTAGTCTTGGTCTAATTTGTGTTCCAGTCTTTTCTTGGGAGCTCCGAGTTAGGTTCTTCCTCCAACGAACGGGGATATCCTGTGGAGAGACTAATCCATCGCATACGTTGAGGGCCAGACTGTTGTGTCCCGAACAGCTGATCGAAAGTACGATTAACTCTCACTCAGGGGGTATATAGTGCTAATAATCCTTCGACCACAGAATTCATATCACATGGTTGAGTGCTGAGTGGCCTATCCAGTGACCACTTGTCAGATGGAAAGTTCATAATCCGTTTGAAATAATATTCAATAGAAGCTACTTGTGTAACAATGTATACTACTGATGAGGCATGCGAACATTCTATGGTTCAAACGTCACCCCTGCATCTGATGGAACGTGAAGGTTGTTGTGGAAATTGTGGGACCACTTTGCGGGATTCGTTTGCTATTGTCTAATGCCGAATGAAAGTTCAGGAAAATTCAACAGGGCAGGCGAGAATGTTCACTTCTCAAATACGCTGTAGAGCTGAGATGTTTAACTTCATATCCAATCACTTGTGACCCCTTCGTGTTTACTAATGAATAAATTCACAGCGGTGTTCACCACAGTTGACCTGTAGTTATTTGATAATGGCCTCCTTCTAGGATGAAGTACTCACCGAAACTGAAAGAGAATTTTTCCTCGGTGGAGATGGCTCCCATTTAGAGAAATGATCAACCAAAACCGTGTTTCACGCTCTCAGCTCCAAATTGGTGCAACTCTTTTCGTACTCAGATGCTGTACACAAGTTGATCGATTATGCCATTTTGTCGCCTCGATTTTCTTCTACATATGCAGCACTGTTTCTTACCCATGGTTTAAGCATGCTGGTGAAATGTCCTCTCCTCTTGACAATAAGCAATCTGACTTGGTTATTCCCCGGGATTGGATCTATAGTATTCTCTTCTATCACATGAACGAAATGTTTGCGATCAACGGTGTGCCTAGTGGCTACTGACAAAAGTCCTGAGAGAAAGCTGGTTAATTATAAGGAACAATAGGACTTCTTTATCAATTCAAACATAAGATCGTGCTAGACACCCGAAGCCTCACATCAGGCTGTTATCAATAACTAAATGTTCTTTAACTAACTTGTCTAATTGCTAGTTACACCAACAGACAAAGAAGTACGAAAACGCAGTTGAGATTTTCTCAGACTCTGTGTCTAACATTCATATCAAAAGCAGTGCTTTGAAAGTTTTATGATAGGAAAACTACAATCATACCTGCTATTGTGTGGGAATAGCAGCTTAGATTGCCTGATTAGCCAAATGCATGAGAAATAATGTCTTCCTTAATTATATTGACTTTAAGAACATGCACCAAAATTTCCGAATAGAGGAAATGAAACTGAATTATGTCTGAAATACTTTTGGCTTCCAGTTGTCTGCTCTATTTGAAAAGTTTTCAGGAACGAAAACATATGTACTGTAGCCGCAAAGCTATCTGATCCAGTTGCAAAAGACAGGATAGATAATTCGTTCTATGAGACGATGAAATTTACTTACCTTTTCGACATCTAAGTGAGCCCAACCTTTGACCTGCTTGCATGCCAAAGAAAAACCAAACCAATCGTGGATTCTTAGTGGGAATTTACAGACGGTCCACACGATCATTACATTATGAGTCCTCGCATGCACACTACGTCAAACACGCCGCTCTCGCTCATTGGTGAATCGCGTCAAAAAAGTATGCTCGGATGAGTCCACACGAGCAGATGAACTGAAAAAGACTGAGTAGGGTATTATAGCAAAACAAACGCCCCATAGGACTCGTTAGCCAACAAATGAGGGGCACGCTACTCGGAACGGTGAGACAGGGGGACGTGAACCCGATGATCAATGTGGGAATACCCTATAGAAAATGCACTTCAGATTCCATTTGGAAGATAGTTCGGGATTATGATACTCAAACATTATTCCGAAATAATAACACAGCGGCACCTTGTACATTGTAAATTAAAAATTGTTCCGAAAACTGCGTCTACTCCTGTGCAGAATGCTCAGCCAGGGAGCGCTGTGTGGAACGACAAGCACTTTTTCCCCTACGAAATTAAAATGAATTTTTAAAAACTTGGACTCGACTCAGCCATCAAATCAACTTTAATGGCACGCACACCCCAGTCAGGCTTCACATCAGACGTGGAACGGGAGTGATTTAATGCCTTAGAGATTAGCAAGCGACCAAACTGTGCTAACCACATTGATAGGCCAGCATCCCGTACATCTGACTTGGACTTAGAGCATAACTTAATAGGCACAGTGGCCAATGGTGAAGCAGGAACCTCAACAAAGACGCATCACAGCCAGCACAACAAACGGAGGCACATCCCAGACACGGTAAACACAATCGTGCGTAGACGCACACAGATCTGACATACACTCGCTGGTCGCATCTGATTGCCAAATGGTCTCAGCAACACACCAGTCAGAAGGCATGATAAGCACAGCAACCCAAAACTCAGGTTTTGTAGTACCATATACCACTACTCTTTGTTTTAACTCAAAAATTTCCTTGGGATTCATTGCCAACCATAGAGAGCATAGTACAACCTCTCAAAGGTTCACCTTCTCTCGAGGGTTGTGCTCCGGTTGCATTCGAGAGCGTGAAGAATAAGACAGATAGGCAATGATTCTCCTCGAAACAACGAGTAGAAAGCAGAAAAGAGTTAACTATCTGTTTCAACACTTGATTTCTCCTCTAACATATACTTTCTTGAAACAGTCAGCTGAATCAGGCAGTGCAGCCATCAAGGCTAAGTCCAACATATTGATTATTTCCAAAAGACTGTCATTACCGTCTTGCCCGCTATGGATTTTGAAAGCTACAGCGACGTGACCACTAAGGAAAGGTCTTCCGACAGATATTTTTCGTGCAAATCTTGAGAAGAATCAGGTAGTTCAAGAATGACTGTGCTGTACTGATTTCCTTTTGAAGCATTTCCGTGTCTTACCCCTCTGTAATAGCCGGGAGTGCTGTCCGTGTTGTACGGTGTTCATGCTTGTACCCACTTTGATGTATCACATGACTGAAAAGCCATTCATCCTTTTCATTGATTCGTAAGAGTGCTTATGAAATTCGGAAATGGACGGATAAATATGCGAGGTGAAATTTACGAAATTTGAGGTTGCTGAAATTTTCTTGGAACAAAGATGCACACCTCGCAGAACAAGCTATTCAGTAGGATACTGGAAATTCCTGGACAATCCACAACCGATTCGTCTTTGATGAAGCTCATTAGTTAGGTGCAGCCCCCTCACAGATTCTGTCAACCTCATGTTCTGCTTGAGCAGCAATTTGTGGGCCGTCTACGAAATGCAATTATTTGCAAATTCAGAGGAGATTCAGTTGAATCCCAGCTGAATCTCTTGTCTATGGTATTCATCGAGTGAATGTACTGAACACTGATTGCATATTTCAACCCTTTGGTCCATATGAATCAAGTCCGCGTCAATTCTCACAGGCCTGCACTGCCCCAGTGAATAATTCTTAAACCTGTCTACCAAGCATCGATAAGTTTGCAGGAATCGTTCTAAACAAGTTCATCCTGCTGTCGAACAGAGACCATTAGCATATTCATCCGCCTGGTAATCAAATTTTGAGGCATAGCTTTGTGGAACAAAAAATGGCCTTTGTTTACCAATCCCTTCAGAAACCATAACTCATGACGTATCGCAGCCCCGAGTGAAATTTCAAACATTCATCAATTTGCCCCACTGACAAGGACGAAAGTGGAAACAACAAAGGTGGTAATTCTAACTATCTAAGGGGCACGTCCATTCACCACCACGTTAGACAGTGAGTGGTGATAAGTGACCAGATGTCAATGTGCAATTTGCGTCAGACGGTGTGAAATTCAACCCCATGCTATCAAACTAAAAACCCAAGTTTTGGCACGCGAAAGTGATAACACCATTTCTATTCTTAGCTGATCAAGCATATTTATTCCTCCACTCATATAAAGTAAAATCGTTTGCCTGGAAACATCACAAACGAGAGACTCAGTTGGGTTCCAGGTGAGTCTCTCGCAAAACCAAATTAGTTTGCAAATGAGCGCATTTCGCTAATTTCGTGCAATTTGATTTCAAGTAGAACAAAAGGTTGACGGAAACTCGGGGACTGCGCCTATCTGAGGAGCTTCAGGAAGGGAGAAACCGGCCGTGGGCTGTCGACGAATTTTCAGCAACCTTATGAGTAGTGCATTACGTTTTGACATTCCTTGTTAGGATTCTTGTTTCATTGTTTTACATCAAAACCCCATCAGCTTGTTTGCCAGTCTAACGACGATAAAACTTCGATAAATACTCTCGTCTGCACACGAAATCGGTTTTTACGAGGAAACTCAGCTAAATCTGACTGACCCTCTCGTTTACGATGGTTCGTCAAACGGAACGTGCTGCACCAGAATGCCTCACGTTTCAGTTGGTATGATAGTCGAGATGTCGCAATAGGTTTCCGTCTAGCGATAACACACTACTCACAAGGTTGATGAAATCGTTTCGAAAGTCAACCAACGGTTTCGCTCTTCTTTGGACCGATCAGATGGGCACAGTTCCCCAGTTTCGGTCAGTCTTTCTTCCTGCTTGGACCCAAATTGAACGGATTTCGACAAATGTAAATCGGCGTTTTGCATCGTCCCAGATGTCACCAAAAGTAGTGCCTTCGACGTTTTCCGGACTAAGATAGAGCTACTGATGTGTCATATTGGGAATGCAATGAATCTAGACTTTTCATGTTACCTGATGACCCGAAGCCAGTCAAGCATATTAAAAGCATCGCACCACAAAAAACTAAGGGATCATCCGGCAGCTACTTTAATAAGGAGAAAGAGTTGTCTGTCCTTGAAATTCTATTGGCTCGCTGTCTGTCGAAAATGAGCCATCCCATGAAAATTCCCTTATGTGTACGTTCACTGTCAAACAACTGACACCGACTCACATTGTTGTGAAGCGAGCTAAATCAACCACGAAAATAAGAAGAATTCTCCAGAAACTGGAGTTTATTCCTTCTGACACCCAACTAGATGGAAATGATGGGATCTTTGCGGTATAGGCTGCATTACAAAGCTGGCGACAGAGACCCTAATAAGTGGTTTAATTCCTGCGCCATCCTAAGAACGTCAGAATTGGCGTATGTAGACTAACTCTAAAGATTGCCCTCACAAAAGATAAAAAAACTAGCCATTCTTGCATCTGCTGTACAGAGTTTAGTCATACCTGTTCTCCTAATGTGTGGAAGAGCTACTGTCAAATCACCTTGTGCGTTCAAGCTAATAGGTTTATGACAATTACATCATTACCTACGTATTTGGTGCGGAGTAAGCAGGTGTCATTCATTCAAAAGTAGTGAGGTAACTGCAAGGTTATTTTCTCTCTTCATCCACATTCATGGTTTTCATTTTAAACGCGGTGAACTACAAGTAGGTTTTGGTACGCTGACTGTCTGAAACTCTTTTCAGATTTAGAATGATTCTAGCCCGTTGAGTCATAGAAAAAAAACTGTAATTTATTGCTCTTCGGAGGTAAGGTGAAACCACTCTAGAGATTTTCTGAAATATAAATAGAATCCTCGATATAGGTTGCAGACGCGTATTAGGACTGTACAGTGGTATGAGATTTGCTAAAAAAAATAGAAAGAACTGAAGAAATAGTGTCTGTGCATTCTGACGGAAAACCTCATTCAGCAGATCACTGGAAATGCTGTAACAACCCGCAATCAACTTCATCCCTCTTTGGGTTCCTCATGTAGCCTTCGTTTCCGAGTTTCCGTCGACCTTGAGTTCTACTTAAATCCATAATTTAAGCGATTTGTGAAATACACTTGTTTGCATACCATTTTGGTTTTCATGAGGCTCTCACCTGAATCCCAGCTGAAGCCCTTGTTCGTGCTGTTTTTCCTCAATTGGATATGCTGCACAAAACCCGACTCACGTTACACTTGGTGCCGTATCCGAGAAATCGCAATATTTTGTGGACGGGACGCGTTTTGATGAGACTGCTGCAAACTTTCCGAAATCTCACGATTGGTAGCAACGTGTTCTGTGGAGGAAATGTATTGGAATATCTTGAAGGTCGTACCAACCGAAAAGAAAGGCATCCCTGGTGCGGCACATTCAGCCGAAAAATACTATACGCGAGAGACAGCTGGGATTTCGTTGACTTTCCCGTCAATACCAATTTAGTTGAAAAGTGTGTGCATTCCCATAGTTTTCCATCAAGCCAAAAGACAGCACAATGTTAGCAAGTTCCAATATCAACTTAGAAATCAAAGTGGCGTTTCGCTGATCAATAAATACTCCAAATATCGTATCCCTTCAGAATATACATGGAGTTTATTCACGCCCCAATAGGGTGTGTTAGTTGATTAGGAAACTAAAGTTTTATAGACAGGATGAATCATGGAAAAATGGGGAGATGATTGGTAGGAACGTTCGTAATGCGGGTCCACTTGAGATGAAATAATCGTTTCCGAGATAGCTGCAAGTAATTTACACAAACCTAAGCTCTACAGACGCATTTATACCGAAAAATGATAGTTGTAGTTAGGGTAAATAACCATATAAACTGTGTCCGTGTTTCTAACATATCTGCCGACAAAATATTGATTTCATAAAAGAAACTACTCACAAGGTTGCTGAAGACTCTTCGACAACCCTGTGAAAATATACTGCGATATCCCGAATATCGTGCCAACTGAATCATGAGGCGGCCTGTGTGCAGCACATTGAGTTGTATACTATCATAAACGAGAGATTCGATTGAGTCTCACGTGAAAACCAAATTGATTTGCAAATGGGCGTATTTCTCGAAATATTGATTTCACTCACTTCTTTTCGAATCAACAAAACCTAAATGCCTTCCACCAATGTCGGTACAGTTTTTTTTCAGAAAATAGTTTATTAATATATGGAGCAATACGTATGCTTTATTTGTGAATCAATATCTGTTAGGATTTTTGGCTTTGGCCATCACTGTTAAACACCAAAGTACAAGCTTGTGGTTCATACTCACCTGATTTGATCGCAAATTTTAGTCAGACGTTTTGAGCAAAACCCACGTTTTACGTCTGTCCTTCTTGCAGGTTTTAGACCGTGATCATAACGGGCAGGATCAAGTTCACTGTCGTCTGGGTCCCACCGATAACTTCACACTTCAAGTGGATTCACCGGACACTAAGTATGCGCCAGGTCGAGCAGATCTTTCCGGGACACAGACCATCAGCGATTTGGCCAACTCCTCACCTAATCGACAAGATTTTCGACTCGTCACAGGAACAAGCCTTACAAGCTCGATAGGTCCGTTCACGCGTTTGGATCGCGAGGTCACCCCCATGCAGCAGGTTACTATCACATGCACCGATAGCGTTGGCAATTCGGCTTTTGTACGGATCAATGTCCAACTGAAAGACGTCAACGACCATGCTCCGGAATTTGTCAACAATGGTCATTTCGCATTTCAGATCCCGGAAAATCAGGAACTGATCGGTGGGAAGCCCCTATGGTTGGGGCGGACCGTTGCTACCGACAAAGATGCTGGTGATAATGCAAAAATTTCTTACAGTCTTGAAGAAGATAGTGAAAATTACGACTCCACGAAACATTCATACGATGGGGCAATGAGTAGATTGTTTGAGCTGGATGCTCGTACCGGAGATTTGTACGCAAAAGTTATGTTTGACCGCGAAGCTCTAACCGGGGAAGGAGCCTACCGATTACGAGTACATGCGGTGGATAACGGACAACCCAAGCTCACTGGGACTGCAGTTGTAGAAGTGTTCATCGTTGATGTGAATGACTGGGCACCGCAGTTCACAAAGGATGTCTACACGTTTTCTGTAGCTGAAGACACACGTGTTCAGGAGGTCGTAGGGAGCATCGAGGCAGTGGACCGTGATGCTGACAGTCAGGGTAAAATAACTTACCACATGGTCAATCATATGAGGCAGCCAACAGCGCTTTATACGCGAGGGATTCGCAAAACCAGATCAGTTGGCAGCAAGGCCCCATTCTCGCGAAAAGGGCGAAAAGTCAGTGATCCTGAGGTGAGTTCTGGAGAATTACAAGGAACTACAAGTTCCTATGCTGATACATCAGTTCCGGTACCCCAGAATTCCCCGAGTCCGGAGTTCTATAAACGTCGAGAGCAGAAGGCTTCTGATGAAAATAATTTCAATGTTCTGCCTGAAAACGCTCCAAAAGAGCACAACTACTTCAGTGTCGACAGATTGAGTGGAAAGATCCGCCTAATACGACGGCTGGATCGAGAATCGGTGGCGTTTTTTTCACTTGAAATTGTGGCCACAGATAGCCCGCCAGTTTCAATACTTCCTGTCAGGCACCAGCAATCTGGAAGTTATACCAATTTTACTTCAAATGTCCACCTAATCCCGAAGATTTTGTCAAGTTCAACAACAGTGGTAATTGCAGTCACAGACGTGAACGATAACGCGCCAGTTTTTCGCAGTCCAAACACATCCACGGCAATTCAGGTTCGCCTGCAAGAAACTCTGGGAAAACAATTACTGACCTTTGAAGCCACCGACGCTGATGAGGGGGAAAACGCAAGAATATCATACAGTATACGAACGGAGGTACCCCGGCCACCCGGGGGACCAGGAACCGGATATTTTTCAGTAGACGAAACAAGTGGACTCTTGTTCTTGGCCAGGTGAGTAGTCTTCAGTAGTAGTTAGCACAGCTAACACAGTAACTAGTAAACAGCTTACCACGTGAAAGGCGATATCATACGCATTTTTCCTCTCCCAAGTATTTTGCCTGAAAATTTAATCAAAGTTATTTGCTTACCAGATTAATAAAGTCGGAAAATTCTAATATTCAATGTGTTTCAACAAAGATCATGTTTTTTTAATTGCCGCTGACCAACCGACACTATGACAAGTCGGACGAGAGCTAATTTATCGTATCCATACTGCTCTCATTGAGCTGGTTCCGGTCACTACAGTTACTTCTCCAGCTACAGCACATTCATATCAATAATGAGCATATCAGTGAATCGATTTCTCATTGTCTACTGATGTGGGAAAGTCCATACTTTCAAAGGTTTCGTATTAACCGCACATTCCCTTTCTGACTTTTTGGCACTTTAGAACTGAACTAGTTACACTCAGAAACTTGTACGTCTCAAATTCAGCATTTTCGGCTGTGTTGTTTACCGTTTACTGCTGTTAATGAAAACAGCACAAAATTATGCAGAAACTTCTACTTTTTTACCCAGTAGTCATATTGACCATAATATATTTGACGTACTTCTTTATCATTTCCTATCGATATATTCTTTTTGGGTGCAAAATTTTGTCCTCTAGTGAAGCACTATCGTTCAACCCTATAGGATGCGTTTCCGTCCTAGACCTCTGAATTGGGTTGCCTGTCTTCACACAAGGCAAGTGTGTAGCTGTTGGTTTCACGTTGCAATAGGCCCAATTTAGTTTTCTTGACCTGTCACCATCTATACCACTCTGTCTCCTCTGGCTTAAGAGGTAAGCAAACCTTCAGACCCATTGATCGCCCTCAACTAAAGTTCTCAAATTCATCTTTAGTTACCAGCAACTGGAAAGTATTTGTAACCGACTGAGAATTCACCGTTTTCAAGAGGCTTGAAAGACCCGCCGACCGAACCCATTTTTTTAGTATCAATGGATGCGTTCATTTAATACTGAATTACGAGTATTCAGGATAGGTTTGCATAGTGCACCTTGTTTCTAGGTTTTCGGCAGGCTCTTATTTGCAGTGATTAGACTCAAGTAGGCTTTGGGTCTGCTATTCGGAGCAGGTCGTCGACAAACTAGCTGCTTTTGACCGAGGATATGCACCACTGATGTGCCCTATCAAGAGCGAAACTGGAGTTCAGTGCTTCTTTAATTTTGCGCGGATTCGCCAGAATGACGTTTAAGACTTCGTCAAAACGACAGGCTCTCAAATTCTGCTCACACGACTTCGTTCTTCTGCACTAAGCTAGAAACTATCTCACAAACGATACTCAAATTTTCGATTTCGTCCCTACTAAGTTCTATGATCATACACTAGAGATTACTTACTTCAGTTTCCAGAAATTTCCTAATCTGCTTCTGGTCGACAGAAGGCAGCCATATCTTCTACATTTTATGATAATTATCACGGTTAATTTGCCCTCGAGCTTGCGTCAGCTGTAACCTAACCCAGGAGATTTCCAAATATCCAACCACGGTACAATATGCCTCCTTCTTTCATCCGTTTCTCCCCCCCCCCGCTTCGTCGAGCGATTAAATCTTGAAAGCCCTCAAGGTCTACCAAATTTCCCTCACAAACTCCACTCCATAAGATTAAAGTCAACACAATGCTGAGGAAGTCATACCTTTATTCAACAAAGGTCTGAATCATGAGGTTGCCCTTTATCCATAGACCAGTTATTCTGTACAAAGAAGTACAAAAATCAATCATACTCATGCTCCCGAAACACGCTCAGAAGTTTACTGTGAATCGTCATTTTTCGGACTAACAGTGCATAGTGATTGAAAATATAGAAGAAACCAATAAATATCGATTATCTAATGGAATCAGCTTTTGAACGCATTTATCTGCGATCGGTTAGTTTGCTCCTTGAACAGTCGAAGTTCAACGAGTGGTGTCATATTATCCGTAACTACATCGTCGTATTTACGGGTGTAATGTGTAAAACCTATCGAAACTCACAGACCTGTTTGGAGTTTATCATAAGAGCTAGTGCAGTTCAAAGCCCTTACAAATCTCTTGTTCGCGCTAGCTGAGTAGACGAGTGAATCTGTAGTTCAAAAGAGAGAAGAACTTGATATGGAACGCAGGATAACCACTTACCTGGTGAGCAGAAAATGAAACAGGACATGTGTGGGTTAGTGAAATACACTCATTTGCATACCAGTTTGGTTTTCAAAGGAGACCCAACTGAATCTCTCGTTTATGGTTTTCTTTCTATGGGTAACGTGTTACACCTGTACATTTGATTGTGATACTGGCGTATTGTACCACGTGAAAGATGAGGCGGCCTAATGTAGCACATTCAGTTGAAAAAGAACATAGTAAACGAGATATTCAGTCGGGTCTTCCGTGAAAACCCGATTGGTGTGAAAATGAATGTAGTTCGCCAACTGTGTGCAAGTTGGGTTCAGGTGAACATAATGTTAAGAGAATCTCGGATACTAGAAGTTGAGTTGGGTTCAGGTGAACATAATGTTAAGAGAATCTCGGATACTACGCCTACCTGGTGAGCCCCGAGAAGAGCGAAAGCGCTCGTGGGCTGTCGAAGAGTTTTCAACGACATTATGAGTAGTGTGTCTGGTCTGTACCACGTTTTTTACGTCAGTCCAATACTGCTTATAAGACCCAAATGAATCTCACTGAAACACCTGTGGTTTGCATTCAGTTGAAAACATGGAAGCTCTGTTATACCTTCCGATTTCATCTCGTTCAAACCAATGAGGCACAAATTTGTTGCGAACGTGCAAGGTATTTAACATTCTGTAATTCGGGTTACCACGTAGAAGTAAAGCCGATCTATGTTCACTCAGCTATCATCTTATTGATTCAAATCCTACCTTCCAAACCCGAGTTTATATGATATCGACATCTCGGCATGAGTGTTGGGCCCATAGCTATACAAATACCCCATATAGTACAGGCCAGCTTTCAGCTTGGTGAGCGACCTATCGACTCACACCAGTCAGACGACAAGGTGGGAAGAAGCGTTTTCAAGGAAATGAGACTTTTTCAACTCTTGAGGCTGTTAATCACCGCAAGTCAATCTCGGCAAACAGATCAGCTACAATTTGATCAATAATTGGTACAAGGTGAACTGAATGTGACGCTGAATGGATATCTATACTCAACTTTGGTAACACGGAGGATAATTGATCTTATTATCGATTTGACGGGCTTCTTGTGGCTAACCTTTGGTCTGGGAGGCTATATTGCCGAAAAATTCAGCACGATATTTGCTAGAGGGTAGTTATAAATATCAAATGGCATGCAAGCAAGCATTCCAAGGCTTTCTTCGGTTTTCGGTGAGAGTTTTGTGTGTTAGCTGGGCTACCAATTAACCCTGGAAAGCGTATCGTCTTGAGTGTATCAAGTGGAGAGAACAGAATCATTTGCGTGTGAGTATTATGAACTGAGTTGAGAACAACAGTTCGGTTAGCTGACGTTCCTGGTCCAAAGCTTTCTTCGGTTTTCGGTGAGAGTTGTGTGTATTAGCTGGGCTACCAATTAGCCCTGGAAAGCGTATCGTCTTGAGTGTATGAAGTGGAGAGAACAGGATCATTTGCGTGTGAGTGTTATGAACTGAGTTGAGAACAACAGTTCGGTTAGCTGACGTTCCTGGGCTAAGCCAAGGAATAAACTTGAGATTGGACATTTTTCGGGGGTGTGACCGGTTTTCTAGGTTTTCCGGAAGTCGCTACACTCTGAGAGAAGTGGTCAACTGTTCCTGTCCGCCGAGTGGGATAAGAATTTCCATAGTTTCGTGACTGCCCTTAAATTAGGAATTGTTGGCTGTCACTGGATAGCAAGTGATTTGTTCTCCTCCATCCAACGGAATACTGATGTCGGTTAACTCATTTAGGCTAGTTTCGGTGGTGGATTGGTGCATGAATTGCTAAGAGAAGGTTGAATCAAACAGTCTTCCGATCATACGGTAGAGCTAATTAAAATGGCCATTTGTGTGTATGCAACAGCACACCGACTGAAGCTTCCGATTATCATTTATCAGTCGTTCGCCCCACAACTTCACGGCAGTCGTCCTCGATGGATAACAATATGAATTGGACAAAATAGTCCTGATTTGCAAAGGTCTTCGTTCTTAATCCACTTCATATTGGTGGTCTTTCCGGTAGCCATTCACACAGACCGTTTTATCGCTTGCATGCCTAACTGATGAGATTCTAGGATTTGTCATTCTACTTCGTCCTTCCACTTGGTGTGCGTTCATCCAGAGATGAGATCAGGTTTAACCAAGAAAAATGTGGACAGGTCCTAGGAGGAAACTACTCACTAGGTTGATGAAGACTAATCAGCAGTCCAGGATCGGCTTCGCCTTCCTTGGGGTTCATCAGTTAAACCGAGCCTTCGAGTTTCCGTCAGCCTCGTGTTCTACTTGAATCTAAATTGTACAGAACTAGCTAAATACACGTGTTTGTACACCAGTCCGGTTTCAGCGGAAGAACCAGCTGAATCCTAACAGAGCCTCTCTTTCATGGGCAATCTTATGATTAGTTTCCTTCCTTTCAGTACTAACTGAAAGACGGGTGGCCTTGTGTGGTAGACTTAGTTGAAGAAAAACATCACGAACGAAATGTTTGGCCGGAATTCAGCTGAATCTCGCAGTGAAACTAAATTGGCCTGTAGATGGGAGTGTTTGATGAAGATCCTTAGTGAAAGTGCTCCTTGGTGCCATGCCGTCAAACCTAAGCTTCGGCTAGAGGATAAATTGACCAAAATGTCAACTGACCACCAACTGCAAGCAATTTTGCATAAATCCTTCCAACAGCAACCGCAGGACTAACAGTTCCGCTTCATAACGAAATTAGATTTCATTCTGTCTGCGGAGTCTTTTGCCGGATTATCGGCAGATATCCTTTGATCGTGGCTCTTTACTGCTATTTACTTTACTGCTTTACTGCTATTTCATCACAAATGAGTTATCTTTCAATTGGCTTGAACCTTCACTGTCTAACATTTGATAAAATCGCTCGTAGAATAACATTTCTGTGGGTACCGAGTTCGGAGACCGAGCGGAACCCAGAAGATTATATCGCTCATTATTTCCAAATTCCTCCATGAGATTAGTAGTTTGATATTACATTATTCTTCACCCTTCTTTGAAATATTTCCGTTTCTTCACTCGCTGTAACAAGATGCTGTTTCTTTCAATGGATGATCTTATGCTGCACACCGATATACCCGAAATGACTTAACTTGAAATAAGACGGGGAACATGACTTCAAGACGAGTCCACCTGAGGGTTTGATCTATCAAGGTTTGCAGTAAGACATGTGAGAAATCTTCTTGCACAAACTAGGTATCAGTTGTATTTCATCATCACATTCCCCAAGGAAACTACGCGTTAGTTAGCCGAAAGCTTTTCGGCAGCGCAGAATAGGTTTCGTCCTTCTCGTGGCGGATTAGGTAGATACAGTCCCCTAGCCTATGTCAATTCCACTTTCTAATTGAGCATTAAACTATACCCAGTTGGCGAAACGCATTCGTCAACATATCAACACCATTGTGCCCTTAAGTGTGAACTATAAATCGCTCTTGATTCATGGTGTTGAGATCTGGCAATATTCAATGGAGATTTTGTCCTATCAGTGAAGTCAGTCAATGCTGAAAAGCCGAAAAGCACTGTACAGAGGTTTCGTTGAGAATCATTGAGAATCACCAACAGTGCGCATCTCACGAAACTCTGAGTTTTGAAAGCGCAACCTTCCAGCCAGTGGTTCAACACAACCATTTCTTCATTAGTGTTTGCTCAATGGTGTGACTAGCCCTCGTTTAGACAGGACATGACGTCACTATCCTTAAGCAACAGAAACCAGATCACGTGCTCTAGAATTGAACGACTCCTCAAATGATGACTTTTCAAAAGGAAGCTTCACACATCCAGTGAAATTTCCCTTCCTCTGACCTGCTTAGCGATTCATGGTGACGTGAGCTGGTTTGGCACGTTTTCGATTATTTACCATAATAATGATTTTCACTTTTCATGCATCACCATCAATAATACACAGTTGTGCTTCGTTCACCCCATACCAAGCATGTGAGACTTAAAATTCCTTCTGTGGATTCTTGAACTAGGTAGGTTGACGAATATCAGAATTTCATCCTAAAAATGTGCACTAATGGCCTCATTTGGCAACCTGTCATAATGTGTCACCTCCAGCAGTGCTAATGCTGTAGGAAACGACCTGCTAGGTATCGCTGAAAGTATGTGAGTTCATGAGTTTTAAGATCAGCTGGTAGATCTATTCCTGAAAAATATCATGAGAATGCGGTCATCACACCCTGAAAGGTGAGGTTGAATCTGTGGACAAATGACGTGATGTATTGTGTTTCATGATCTCACACTTTCGGTGCATGCGTTTGATGGGGCCAACAGCCACTTGGTTGTTTCTTTTTTTACAGCTTACCACCAGCGTTCCTGATCATTGTGTCCTGTTATGTGTTAAATTTACTTTTTATTCAGGACCCTTAATAACACAGCAACCCATCGTCTGGTGGTTGAGGCCTGTGACAATGGAAGTGGGACGACCCGACGCTGCACACTATCTCCTAACATCCGTATCACAGTCTTTGATGGAACGGAAGGGCAGAATAATGGAGATTTGGGCCTCTACCAGGGACGATCATTGCAATCTGGTCCAGCTGACATGATCCCCTTTGACTTGGACACGTTTGCCGCCCGTTCTGCTGCAGCTGCTCAGTCTGGCAGACGGAATGAAGTAATCGTTGTCTGTTTAGTGGTCATCTTCAGTTGTCTTTTGTTGGCCACGATTTTCTTGGTTGCATGTATTCTGCATCGGCGCGGATCACGCCCTTGGCTACTTGGACGATCTACAAATGTGGATGGACGTATTTTAGCAAAGGACGTGAGTAGCACACCAAAACCAAATCATGCCAACTTAAAGTCCAACGGTGATCCTTGGATCGACGACGGTGAGTTTTTGTGGTGTCATTCAATATTTTCTTGGATTTCAGTGCTTTTTGGAAAAACCTTCTAGATTCTTCTAAATTTTTCCGAGCACTATTAAGTTAATTTTTGAGTGTAGTGAATGAAAGATATGCTCATTGAAAATTCACTCATACCAGATGCAGTAAAGTGCGAAATCACAAGGACTCATAGACTTTCAGCAATCTTGCCTTGGTAAATTATATGCCAATGGCCCGATTGTGCGTGATTGTGCTCGTCACGTGTAGGCGTGTCTTTAAAGAGTCCACTACAGTTCTACAGGGTTAGGAACCTAAAAGTGAGCGTCATTTTAGACACAACCTAATGCTCCAAGGTTACTGAAGACTGTTCGACACCCCATGGCCTGTTTCGCTTATCTTCAAGTTAATCAGGTAGTCGCAGTCTCTTAGTTTACGTCAACGTCATGTTGTACTTGAACCTATTCACCAAATACTCTCATTTGTACATTAATCTGGCCTTGACGGGAGATTCACCAGCTGACCGGAGATACCAGCTGAACCCCTCGTTTGTGATAATATTCTACTGAATACATCGCCCCAGGCCGCCTTATGTTTCAGTTGGCATGATATTCGATACATCTTTGTACATTGTCTAAACGTAACACACTATTTATAAGGTTGCTGAAAGCTCTTCTGCAGCCTTTCCTGAGGGATATTCACCTGGATTCAGGTGAGTCTTCTATTAAAACGAAACTGATGTGAAAATGAAGTATTTGGCGAATTAGCGTTACTCTGTTTCTTTATTATTGCCTACGGAGCGTATGTGTAAACTGAAAGACCAGCCGACCTACGTTTAATGCGGCAGTTCTCGTTTTTCTGCCTGTCGGTAGTAGCTTGATACGCCGCAGTGAATTTCCACCTCATCTTTGTATGAATTTGCCCGAGTACCATGCTATGTGATTTCAGACGATCGGACCGTCAGATTATCAGTCAGCTCATTGTTCCTGTGCTAGGCACATCGATTAGACAAGCCACAGCAACTAGTGGGCACATGATACCGCAATGCCCTGATTGACGTCGTTTGTCTTGTTTGTTTCTTTGTGCGTGTGGGTGTGTGGCGCGGACTTGACACTCTATTTTGAAGCCTGTGCATGGGGTTTCCGAAGTTCCCATGTCCTTGTACAAAAGTGGTGCCAAGAGGCCATAGGTTTTATTCACAGACAACCTTATTTGTCGGCAGAGAAACGGTCAAACGGCAGACGGTAACCAGACCAGAATTGTGCTAAACAAACACGAAACTGCTCTGCCGCCTTCGCGCGAGCGGATTGACGAGTTACACTGTCCACATTGCCCGCAACAATGGACCGAGTGGGCAATCACATCTTACCTGTGAGGCATAAACATCGGCTAGAAAATGACTTTGCGTTCCACCTCCCGGCGCTTTTTAGTCGACCCTAGGCACAATGGAGCTAGGTGATGCGCCCATCAAGTTTGATGACGCAAAAACTAATTGGCAGAATGCATTCTTGTAAACTTTCGCTGCCTGTTTACTTTGGCTGAACCTAACTTTTCTCCAGTTGAAAAAGACATAATGTCCATGTGGTTGTCAGCATTTTTCTCCGGGTATCCATTCAGAAACTCCCGTAGGTGGGAGCCGCCTGAATCTTCTGCATATTTACCGCTAAGGATGGTTCAGTGGGAAAGAGCAGACGGACCAGCGGGGTTGAGATGCACTTCACTAAAGACATAGATATCAGAAGAAGATTATAGAACATGACAAATTGTGTACAATGTGTAAACAGCAAAAGCAGTGATTAACGACGTAAATATCTTCTATTCATTCCACTTTTCACAGTCAGAGACTTTTCTTCTGAAGTTCGTTGGTGTGAGGAAAAACATCCCAGTTAGTCTTCACTTTGTCATTGATTTTTTAGTTTCAAAATTCCAGACGACCACTAATTTTTATTCCCGGAAATCCTGGTTCAAAGCCAGTGTGCACAGAATCTAAGTGTCATTTCAGTTCAGTTGATCAGCTATAAACTACGAATACGTTGGTTCCAGCTGCCGCAGTTTTGTTCATCAAAAAGTGGGACAGCAGGAGAGGTGTGGCCAGGTTTTAGAGACACTAACATTTACACTTATTTGTGGATGAATTGTCTGGGGAAACGAGGGACTAGGCAATTATACAATGAAGGTGTTAGCTTCGAAATATTGTCAGTGCTCAATTGAGCTATGTCTGCCAGTCTCACTAACCATTGATGAGTTCGGTCCGGGAGTCCTCACTCTGAAAAACGGCACTTTTTAACAGGATAATTTTTGACCACGTGAAGAATACTTGGAACCGATTGGATAGTCATCGTTTTCGATGGATTTATTGCTGGGTGACGTTTCGCTTTTGACACAAAAGCTTCGTCAGGCCAAGTGACTAGGTTTCGATGTTGATCAAGATTTAAGGCGGAAGAAGAACCAATCAGAACCAATTAAGCTGAATCTCTCTTGGATGTTGACCGAGGGATTTTAGTGTGTCAGACTGGTTGAACGAGTGTTGGGTCGGTAGAAAGCAGAAGAATAACAAACGCTGGTCAAAGACTCAGCGACGGCGGTACATGCCTTAGACACGGGACATAGAATAGATCTGCAGAATGTGGAAGTTTTAGGACGGGGGCTGCGATTCACACCACAGCGGCTGATAGCCGATGCGGTGGAAATTACTAAGCATCACAGCGTGAGTAGAATCGAGGGTGTGAAACTGGCGAGCGTATGGAAAGCGGTCATAGATAAGCCGAGTTGACACGTGACGGTGTGGCTGTCAGTCCACGTAGGATCATTAGAAAAAATTGGGGGGGTGGGGGTGGAAATCCTAACCCGACCAAAGGTCACAGCATCCCTCTTACACAACTATCTTAGCACTAGCTCATCCACACAGACGGACCGAAAGTTCAAACGACGTTCAAGAGGGACCATCAAATGTACCCTAGGCTGGACCCAAACACGTGGGTTTCTCCACCGACCCAACACTTGTTCATCCACTCACACTAAAATCCCTCGGTCGGCACCCAACAGAGATTTAGCTTGACTCAGCTGATTGGTTCTCCTCCCACCTTAAATCTCGACCAACCTCGGAACCTAGTCACTTGGCCTGACGAAGCTTTTGTGTCAAAAGCGAAACGTTGCCCAGCAATAAATCTATCAAATGTTACCAAACTTTTTCGAAAACGATAATTTTTGATTAGTGTCAGGTCGTTACCACTTTATAGCTGGTCGACCTCTTGATCGTTTCCACTCAGAATAAAGACGGGCGAAACAAGCTCTGAATGGCACATGGGCCTCCAACATGCAAAGTTAAATTTTAGCTAGCTTAACCTGTGAAGTCTGAGTAGCACATCCATTGGGGAAGAGTTTCTTCCACCTAAGGCCATCTGGTGCACCTTAGCAATGGTAAACCGAGGTTCCCACCAGACCTAACCCAACAAATGTTGTGGAGACACCGACGGTCCAACACTGACAGATTTCGTGTGTCTTCTGCTTGTAGGGGCCACCTTTCTAATCCAAATAGCAGCATGAATCTCACTGCCACAGTGTATACCCTATCTATTGCTTACAAACGAATGTCACACAAACCCCATAGGTGGTATAGTTTGGCGCATGCTATTCTCACCTTTTTTCATTCGAGAAGATGTCTTGTCTCAAGCCTATCCACCGGCACGTATACAAATGTCTAGGCCAATTAATTTATCCGCCACGTCGCTTAACTAGTCATCAGACACGAGTTTCGGGCTAAATCGAAGTGCAAGACGCATACCAAAGAGTCTGGTAGACTATATATGACGCCTTACAACCCCCAACGTGTGTGAGTGCACACACCAGGAACAATGCGTTAATGAAGGAGGCAGGGAAGTTTCAAGAGCACGTCCATAAAAAAATTGGAAAGTAACGGTGACAGAAGACAGCCTTAACTTTCACAAAAGGGACGAAATGGACTGAGGCAAAAGCTTGCTGTGTACTTGTATGCACCCACAGGAGTTTACATAAAATATAAGAATTTACAGTGTAAACATTTGATCATCAGGTACCGCCATGGTTTCTGATAGAGTCAGTAACCATTGTGCGACGTTTAACAAATAGTGCTTTCGAGCACCTGTTCGACTGCGAGGATTTGGTAGGCATATCTTCAACCAGGACAAAACCGAGCTCGATCCTCACAGATTCTTCCTTACCGGCAAGCGGTCGATCCGCGCAGAAGGCACCTTGGGTTTTATGTCTACCAGGCTGATACCACGATGACTTTCGCATGATATTCTTGCCTCCTCACAGATGATGTGCTCTTTTCTATCGATATTCTATTTTCGTTCCAAATCTCCTTTACAAGGATCTCCATACCCTTGAAAAGTGCTGAGTTCACACCATCCTGTCAAGGTGTATCTCGCGCTGGATTTCTGTTGCTGCTGACGAACCAATAGCCATGTTTGCTGGATTCTTCTAGGGACTCCTTTGAAGGAGGGTTGTTGAATTGTCCTTTGGAGTGTTCAGCCTATCACCCGATACGACATTTCTGCGTTTGAATTGCTATTTTATCATTTTTGCAAGCTGATTCCCTGAAACACTCCTCCTGTAAGCTAGCTGACCGAATCAGCTGAAGTTGGGCATGACTTCGTCCTTCAGAGAAAGTCTTACACCTCCTGGGCTTTTGCAATCCATCAGCGTCCACCATCATTCTTGAGTCTGTGTTGAGGGCTCTGAGTGTGACATCACGACATCCAGGCCCTCGCAGGGTCTTTCAGGCCAAAATAAGATCTGCTTATCTTGAGTGCTCAGTTTGATCGATACTGGTGCAGTATTTCCTTTCCAACTTATTAGTGCTCACCGGCAACAAACTGGTCGAGGCTGAAACTGGTTACTCCAAGCAACCTATAAGCCTGATCTTCCATTCCCAGAGACTCAGCTTTATTCTGATCATCATTCACTAGTATAATCATTGTGCAAGGTGGACTTTGAGAGTCACACCTTGCAATCTCCCAGTGCCAGTACGATAGGGGAGTTGAAATAACGGCTAGCGTTTACCTTCAAATGCTAAGAAGTGCATTGGAGTTTTCCTATTAGCATCTTCCAAAAATGGGCACAGAACACTGGAATATGTGGTACTTTGGGGCACAATTGGGCTTTACGAGTTAAAACCTGGGAAACTTCACTCAATGTATAGAACATAAGTTTGTCCAGGAATTTAGTAGAGCCATCGGAGGAGTTTGTTTCACAGGGATCAAACAATCACTGACTGTACGATTCTCGTCTTGCCAATAGGAACACAGTAAAATCTCACAAATTTACCAGTCCATCTGGAAGAAATTCACCAGTCTTAGCTTACCTCATGAAGCTGCAAAGTTTTGTTGTTATACTATTGAAGATTCCGGCGAGGAATTGCTCAAAGGAATTTAAGAATTTGGAAAACTTGCAAAATTACTCATTGGATGCCTGTTTGAATGTGTGCTGTTGGGATTCATCTCACAATAACAAAATCTTATAATAATCTGCGTTTTCAACCTTATCCTTCTGACTTTTCCTCACTCGTGTAGGACTGCAAAATGAGGAAACTGAAATGGTTTTGGATCCGAAACTGGATAACTGCAAGGCTGTGTCTTACGGAGTGAGTTTCCGGGCTCTCTGAGCATGGTGCAAATATACTCGCGTATAAAACAGATTACTTTTGAAAAGTTTAGAGAACCGTTTTTCATCTATGTTGATACTCACTTTAAGTTTGTGGCTCATGGGTTGTAACCTAAAACCAAAGACAGGGGAAATGAATACTGACCAGTCAAGATGCAAGTGTTTTCTAGACGGCGCGCCTAACTTGCACATACCAGTTTTGTTCAACCGCGTATAAGCCAGACCTCACAAAATGCTTGCTACTTGTTTATTTCAGGATAGCCCCTTGAGCCACATTGCTTCAGAATATTCGTCAAAGCCAAGAACACTTTAAAAATTTCCTAGGTTAGACTTCTACGAGAAACCAAAATTCCACGCAGTTTTTTGCATAACACCAACACTCCGATAAGTTTCACATTGTAACCTTGATGAATTTACTTCTACTGTCTGGCTACGGCGATGGGCAAATTCTGATTAATTTCACCCTTGCCATCTAGACTGAGACATGGGAGTGTAGGATATTTAAACTCGACAAATATTATTGGTAAATCACTGTAATTAGTATAGGTGGTAGAGTCAAGAATGGCGCTTTCCGGAGTGCCTTGGGCTGGTTTTCAAAATAGCAATCGTTAATCTTAGGTTCCCGGGTCTACGTACATACTGAGACAGAGTGGAACTGGTAGCAGGTTGATGGAGAATTTCAAGAAAATCGAAACGAGTAAGAGCATTTCGACAGGCATGAAACTCACTAACTTAACCGACTGCCACCTATTCGGACAGTCATCTGTCCTCTATCGAAATAGTTAATATGATGAGGGTCAGTGATCCGATCTCAAATGGCTCACTAGATGAGACCCGATAAGAACGAAACCGCGTGTTAAGATGATTATTTGGGAGCCGATCAAAACTTACTAATGCCCATACATTAGCCCATGTGAACCCCAAAGCAGCCTTCGCATTGCATTTTCATACTTGAGGTTAAAACAAACAATGGATTTGTTACAAGCTTTTCTTTAATATTCCACTCACGAAAAGAGTGGTCTAAGAAGTTGTTAGTATGGTACACTGTTTTTAATTTGTGAGCTGAGAGGGATGATGGGGTCGTTCATTTTGAAGGTTGATAACAGTTCCCTGAAGAAGCAGAGAAGGAGGCAGGTACGTTCTTGTGTTTTTGCCAAGAACTTTGCCAACACGCCCACAGTTAAACTTTGTTTGCACGTTTTTTTTGTGAATTGACAATGCCAGTAAATTTATTGTTGAATAGCCTAGGGCGGTTGTATATCACTGTTTGGCTCACAAAGGCCGCATCTTCTTTCCTTTGTTATCTTCTCTCATATGAGTCCAGCTACTCAGGACTGTGAATAGCTTCAAGACAAAAGTATATCGTGATTTGCCTTTAGACACAAAGAACATACTGATGCCTGTAATCAGCAGAGTTTCGTTCCTATTCGGTTGAAGGTTACCAGGCTGAAGATAAATTGGCCAAACTTCCAATTGGTCTAATTTTTGCAAAGAAAACCGTCTTTTTGAAAAAGTCCATCAGAAACACTTAAATTTTTACATCAGTACCGCATTAGGTATGGCAATATCACGAACCCTACTCGGTGCATCGTCTCTGAGGGCAGAATCCTCCCGTGAACGGACGGTTGTGTTAAAATCACTCGCCAGGAGGTCATAACTTTGAACCTGCCTATCAGATCTTCGTGAAATGCGCGAAACAACTTCACAGTGATTCGCGGGTTGTGGACATAGACTGGCGAAATGACAGGAACAAATTCAAATCGAAATTCATCAAATCCTCTCACACTACTACCAACCTATGAGGGGAAGATGAATTCCACAAGATGAGTGGAAGTCAGATGGAAGGAGTCAGTCAGTGTGCGGTTTCTGTCTATCTCTATCCTACCTAAATGAGAGCTAATCACTCTGCTCTTCAGCCGTTTGTAGCATTCAACCACCAACCAGGTTTAAAACTTTGGGTTTCGTGAGATGTGGAATGCTGAAAATTCCCACACAAACCAGCCCTGAATGTATGCATGAAAATACTTGAAGCGAACGACTTGATCACCAGTCATTGCCCGTTCAACACTCACTCTGTACCTTTGCCACTGCTCCCGTTCCCGCATTAATTTGTTGAATCATAATCATGGGCTATCCAGTATGATGGTCCTCTTCATAGGAATGTACCGCATAAGGCTGTCTAGTGTTTCAGTTGTTAGGATATTCCTATTGTCAGAGTATTCGATCATAAGGACCACCATAAACGAATGATTCAGCTGAGTTTCCTGTTATTATTATTAGGCGAATTCCGACATTTTGGCTTCAAATGGCAAAAGTGATAGGCAGAAACTTGGGGAGAGGTGCCTGCCTAATAGGTCCTAACAAGGGCAAAGCAGCTCGTGGGCTAAGAGTTTCCCGCAAGCTTATCAATAGTGTGCCACGTCCAGTTTCTACTCTCGCGTGCTTTACGTTCACAAGTGAACGGAGTAAAAGAGCTGGTAACGTATCGCGTATAGACTTTCCGCCAATCCCAGTAAGAATTTAACCGGTTGTGAGTGCATATATGACGCATCTTGAATTTCCTTTCAAGCCAGTGTGTTGATTTGAAACTGAGAGGCATCAAATATAGGGAAGATTCGAACCCGAAACTACTTGTATTCCCTGATTACTTAATAGGTAACCATTTGGCAGGGTCCTTTGTGATATGAAAAAAATAGACAACCGCAAGTGAGTGGTTCTTGTAGAATGGAGAAAGCTGTATTTGGGGTTACTTTACGATGGATACCTGCCCAACAGACACAAAAGATTGCTCTAGATTATCCACCACTTTGATTTACTGCTTCTTTGCATCAAAACAAGTTATTGCTCATGGTTTCCTGCTGTCCAGCTTGTCTGAAAACTGGAGGGAGAGATGAATGAGAACAAACCACACTGTGAGCTTCGCAAACACAATGCAGGTAATAATATGAAACAAATTAGTGTTGTTGCAACCATTGTGCGTCGCTAGTCAGAAGAATGTTTCCCACTGTCTAGGTTTTCTATGTTAGACAAACAAATGCAAAGGTTGCGTAAATATACGCTGTTTGATCCAATCCCCATTTGATAGCAATAGCATTGTTTTTGGTCCATCACCTAGCAACATTGGCAAACACGTCAGACCATATACGGAGTGATAAGTTTTGGGCTGGAAGCTCTTTGTTTAGACGTTCGAACTATTGTTATTTTCGATTAAACAACGATGGGAATCGCTCCACTTTGCACTCCCCCCTATGCGTCATCGATGAGCTAGTGTGTCTGGTGCACGCAACGGAATGTTTTGACCACAACTTCCATCTGGGAATGCTCCGGAAAATGTCGGTGGAAAACTGCGACAACGTAGGTAGCCAAAAAAACTTTTTAGCAGGCTGGCCAGGAAAACGCGCCCATCGTCTCCGGCTTTCTGCGTTTTAGTTCTGACCTACATTCTTGATTATTGTGCGGTTATTTCGGTGTATGTGTGCGCGTTGTCAATTCGGTTGTGTGCACCCATACGATTAGGGCACGCGCACACAAACAGTACCGGGTAATTTACAACATGCATTAGCTGCGGTTGGGTGCGCCTTGCGAACAACGATTGTGAATCAGATAAGAATCTCAAATGGGAGCAGCCTGCAACCTACAGACATTAGGTATTGCGTTGTGTGGGGGAGAGGCGATGGCGGGAAGCATTTAGCACCGATGAAGATGTCGATGGCGAAGCTGGAATCCCGGTCAGATAGATTGGAGGACAGACGAAGGAATGAATAAAACCCGCCCTTTTGTCGAACATTTGACGAGTCCACATGCCAAACCGTCTGGGTTACAATTGACGTCGCCCAAAACCTGGTGAATCACTGTGACTGCGCGCGTGAACGCAGGCACGTACATCTTTGCACGTCTGTGTATGTGCTTTTTCAGCATGGAGCAGGTGCACAGGCAACGGGTCAGGCACTTCAACCAAGGCCTTACTGCCATCTTATCTTTGCACGTCTGTGTATGTGCTTTTTCAGCATGGAGCAGGTGCACAGGCAACGGGTCAGGCACTTCAACCAAGGCCTCCTGGAAAGAAACAGTTACATTTATTTATACAATGTTTCGGGAGAATTTCGGATAGATTATGAACAAAAGTAGATTACAAACGTCTTTTGGGGAGGATGCCTGAGGTGGGAAATATGACTTGGTGACCCCCAAGATCATTTGGGATTTCTGTTGATGCAGAGAACTTTTTTGGATTCAATTAAACGATAATAGCAATCACTAATTTTGCCAACACTTATCAGGAATAGAATATAATTTAATCAAACTGTGGTCACCGGCGAAGTGAAGAGGCACAATGAGATCAGGCGTCTCGACAAGTACATTCATTTGCATACCAACTGCATTTTCACGGTAGATTTGAATCGCACATGGATCTCATGTTTATTATATTCTTCAACTGAATACGCTACACAAAGCCCGCCTCATGTTTCAGTTGGTACGCTATTCGAGACATCGCAGGATACTTTCACAAAGGAAACTACACACAGGGTTGCTGAAAACTCTTCAACAGCCCACGACTGACTTCACTCATCTTGGGGTTCATGAAGTAGGAGCAGCCCCCGGGGTTTCTGTTGCCAACCTCTAACTCAATGACTCGGGACTCGGGAAAGTCCACTGGCTATCGATCAGGTGAATGTTGATCGGTTCGCCGAGATTGCCAATGATTATTTACCAATGGAGGTAACGTGGACGCGGTTAAAACCGGCTAAATGATCACACATGCTTTGGTGAAGTTCGCTGAGGTTCAAACGGTTATTTTATTCCAGTCCGCTAACTTTTAGTGCAGCGCTGCTCCATCCTATGTTTTCAGTCCTATGATGTTTCGCAAGCGCATTGATTTATCAGAACTGAAGACCCGCGAACCACTTATTTGTCAATCGGGTTCATTCAAGCAGCTTTGGCCTTAAGGATCGTCCTGATCACTCTCGCGGTCTTTCCGAATTTTTCATGGTTTTACCTAGCGAACCGTATAAGTTAAGCTGCACCTAATTCAGCTTACTCTACGAACGCATTTCAAAGGTTAACTTTCAGTTGCAGGAGCCTCAAAGTATACGGATTTCTCTTCAAAACTTTAAAATGCACCTTACTGAAGCCGAGTTGTTTAACCGGGCTTCGTCAGATTGTTTTTGAAACCCCCACAGCAAATTTTCCTCCTGAAAATTCAGATGTCAGGTGCCATGCTGAGTTGAATTCAGCTTACTTAAGTTTACCTCAATCCTCCATTTCTTCCAGGTTGGCTGTTCTGGGAATGAACCAAAGTATCTTGCCCGTGACACAATGTTCCCTGGTGTTGCTTACCCCGTTCACACATATATTCCTGCAGGAGTAAAGCTTACACCCGGATCGCAAAACTTTTTCTACCCTACGCACTTTGATCCCACCACTCTGGTACATACTTCTCCAGTTAGGAGGATTGCAATGAACAGCCCAGTTACCTTGGACGTTCAAGGACACAAACTGACACGCCATCCTCAACCGATGGCAGGTAAGCAACAAACAGCATCGTTTCATTTCGTCGTATAGTTTTCGGTTTGTTCAACATTAGTTCCAGATGATCTGCTGAAACGGTCTAAAGGTCACATCTGCATTCTCAGGGTAGCTAACGTTGTACACAGGTAGCAGTTCAGGGCTTTCTGATGTTAGTATGTCTTTGGAAATAACAAAACGGAACATTTTCCCGATCGGAAGAACTATTACTTCCTTGAAAATACCCGCGCACTAATTGAATAAATAAATGGCTCTTGTACAACTTATTACATAACGGTATGAACTTGTAATTACGTGAAATATCTCGGAAGCAAAAAAAGAGTCGTGGAAAAAACATTGTCTAGCAATTAGATCTCCGAAAATTCCGCCGTACCCAGGCAGTTCTTAATCGTGGTGAATGCGATTGTTCATCAAGATAGGTATGTGCTAACGTTCACCAGTCTTCTTCAACTAAACTTTGTTCAGCCTGGCCTCAAATCAGGGTGAATGTGACAAAACTCACCACTCACAAGGTCACTGAAAACACTCTGACACTTTCTTTATGTTCAGCAGATGGAGGCGGTCCCCGAGTTTTCGTCAATCTTCTATTTTGCTTAAACCGAAAATGGGCACCGCTAGCGAAATGCGCTCATTTGAAAACTAATTTGGGGAGACTGAACTAAATCTCAGTCGAAACCCCCGTTTATGATATTCTCCAGTTAAATATGCTGTACGAGGCCGTTTCTCGTTGTATTCCGTCAAATTGGTGAAGTCGCTGTACTTTTTCTCCAGTTAATTGTTCAGGCGGAGTACAAATTTGTAGGGATGTCGGAAACTTTAACCACGAGGATGAAACACACCAGGTGTTTTTGAGTAGTTTTCACCAGGAAAATGAACAGCGATTTCCGGAACGTCATGGCAACTAAAACACGAGACCCTGTTTGAGCAGCACATCCAGCTGAAGAACATTATAATCAAAAGATTCATCTGGGAATTAGCTGAGTTGTCCTTTGTTGTTATGAGATTATTCCTCCAACAGTCGTGCGCACATTCGTTCGCATCGTACCTCGTCACATCCAGAATCAAACTAATGCTTTCCCCGACTGAAAACAAGATTCCCTCAGGCCAGAAAGTAGCTTCATTCTCTCATACACAAAACTCAGATTTCCTCAGCATGCTCTCAAACGTGTTTGCGTTGCACAGACGGCGAATGCGAAAAAGCAAACTAATCACGGCCTGACATACTGTTTTGCACACGACATTTGTCACAAATTTGCCCAAAAATAACCAACCACCACTTTCCATATATACGTATATTCGATCTTATCTCCCCAAACCGAATGTCACAAGCTCCGCGCAACATCGCGCGCGCACACACACATACACCACATAATGAATGTGATCTCAACTAATTGCTGGAGGATAAATTATTTCGGTGTGGGTTGGGTATGAGTGGATGCCCCCCTATCCTCGGTATAGATGACAGCACAAAGCTAAACTTGTTTGTGACAGCTTGTGAGCATTTCAGAAACTCTTTTGTGCGTATGTGTTGTCCTCCTGTGAGTGCCGATCAGCTAATGAAACCATAATCTGGCCCTGTATCTTTCAATTTCATCGAAGCAGACTTGAAAAATTGCCGTAAAATGACAAGCGTTTAGCCCGATAAAGAGAAATCATTAGTTTCTGCTTATATGGCAAGTCAAAGTATCGATATTTCTTCGGTTTTGGTGGATAGCAGGTCGTTTTTCATGATACTTCTCTGTGTGTGGTGAAAGTTTGACACGCCAGAAAGATCACTTTGGGATGTGGACATAGTTCCAGCTCAAACAATTTCCATAGCAAATGGCCTCCTGTTGATATCATCCTTCCTTGAAAAGTCGCATGATTATATTTGGCTTCATAGATGATCCAATGCTTAATATTCGTATATTTAAAACGACATCGTATGCAACCATTGGTATACGATTTTGGTGTCATTTTGACTTCACAAAGGACCTGGTTATCCAAATTATCGAAAAAAAACACAAGCACGAGAACACCTTGGGAACCAGTAAGGGCTTGTGAAAGAAATACGCGTCCATTCGATTTGATAGGTGGTCACATCAAATCACCATACCCCAGCTTGTTTCACAGATAAATAGACGAGAAAATTAGCCGGTATTCAGGTGAGTCTTCACTGAAAACGAAGTTGATGGGTAAATCAGTGTATTTTGCGAATTTCGCTTCCCCCTTAGGTCAGTTAGCGTTCCAGAGCGTCTGTTTGATCGACAAGGGACAGGAATTATAACCGGATATTGCATCCCGCCTCAGTGTTGTGCGTTTACCGAATGCGGTTGAAGTTGGAAGACATGCTGTCCCCCAAAGCAGCACTTTCTCATCTGCGACGGCTTCTCACCTCAGATTCCAGGTGTTTGAACGTTTACAAAAAGATCTTTTGAAAGCTGGTCGAACGTCCTGGTAAGTTGAAATCCAGATAACGGCAGACAGACCGGTTCTCAATAAGTGGAAAGTGGAATGTCACGGATCACTGAAAATTTCGGTGCTTACCGGCAGGATGATATGACAGCCTTCGTCGCTAATCTTACAGATAATTTGCTACCATTTCTAAGTGCAATGGCGCAACATTTGTGAACCATACACACTTCACGCTTTCGTATGTTTTCCTCTTATGATGGCAGCGTGGGATTGTTTGGTGATTTTTAATTCAGATTTTGCCCCGCCAGAGAGACTGAAAAGCCGAGAAGCGGCCTTTTCATCTGTACCGGGAGTTATCACCCGTGCGCATCCCACCAAGCTCCATTAGAGAGTCTGAAACCCGCGACCTTCCGATTAGCATCTTGAACACTTAACAATTTTTGGTCACGATCCAGCCGAAAATTGAAAATGTTATGAAATTCCAGAGAATGAAAGCACTTCAAATACGGGTGTTCCTGTGTTGACTCAGCTAATCTTATCCGGGTGGCCAAGTGTATGCATGGTTTTGGTGTTGGCCTTGACAGTAAGTTTACTCATAAAGTCCCTATAAAACGCATTATAAAAGAAGGTGATCAACCTGCTTTGCAACATCTGTGAGTGTCTAGTTAACTGATCGGGCTTTGTCTTTGAACATGCCTCCAAGAATTCAAGGAGAGACATTGAAAGCTGTGGGACGCTCTGCGTATCTCGAAAGCTGAATTGGCTCTGAGGGTTGCTTGACAGACGAAGTCGCCATATGAATCTCAATACCTAAAATTGCATTTGATAATTTGTATTACTTACAACATCAAAAAGTCATATCGCTGGTCTCAAAGGTTGTGCGTATCAGGCTACAGTGCGCGCTATATTGTCCTACGGCTGCGAGGCTTCGCCATTTCGGGTAGATCTAAGGTATTTTCAGGTAGTTGACCACAGACGTCTCAGAAGAATAGTTAAAATTCGCTGGAACCAGCAAATTCGAAAGGTTCTGATTAGGAGACGGGTCTGTGCTGACGAGGACCTTAGTTCTTCCAGGGACTGCGTCGAACAATAAAGAATAAGTTGGCTGGGTCATTTATGATTAATGCCGAATTACTGTCTACAGAAACGAGCGGATTTTTCCATGCATAATTAGGAGTGGTGAAAACCTAGAAATGGACAGAATTTGACACGACAGAAGAGAATCAAGGATTTCATCAAATACACCCATTTACATATCAATTTGACCCTCACGGATGACTCATGAATCTCGAAACCGGTCGTGGGCGACCGAAGAGTTTCAGCATCCTTGTGATTAGTGTTGCCTTTATGAGAATGAATGATGCTACAAAAAGTTGTAGCGCTGTTCACTTTCCACCATGCGGTCCAAGTCAGCCCGCTTGTGCTTGGCTATAGACACTGATCGATATGGTAGCCAATCGTTGTCAGTGGCATTCATGTTGTCGGCCTCCATTCGGGTCGCCGTACCAGGTTTTGTAGGTGTAGCCACCTGGGGTATTTGTGTTAGGCTAACCGTAGGTCCCCCCTGTCCCGTTTTCTTTCCATAATTCAACCAAATTGAAAAGATCGCATGGCATTGAAGTGCCGGCGTTCTCATATAAAAGAGCCCTCGTCTTATTCCCTCGGGTTTACAGGAAGGGTCAACTGCACATGCGGCTTAGTACAAAATGTATGTGCAATCACCCGTTTTGTGCGGGTGCCCAAAGGCTTATCTCGAAATGGCACACCAATTCAGAAACGGACAGCGCTGCTCTGTCGACCGTCAAGTCTGTGAACAGGGTACTGTCTATAGATGAAACTAACCACAAGGTCGCTGAAAATTCTTCGACAGCCCACGACCGGTTTCGCCCTTCTTGGGGCTCATCAAGTAGGCGCAGTCCCCGAGTTTTCCGGCAACCTTATGATCTACTTGGACGAAACTGGTCGTGGGCTGTCGAAGAGTTTTCAGCAACCTTGTGAGTAGTTTCATCTATGAAAATATACTGCGATCTCTCAAATATCGTGCCAAATGAATCATGAGGCGGCTTGTGTGCAGCACATTGAGTTGTATAATATCATAAACGAGAGATTCAATTGAGTCTCACGTGAAAACCAAATTGATTTGCAAATGAATGTATTTCTCGAAAAGTGTACTGTCCAGTTAGTGGAAATGTTCACGGTACACCAAGCTGCCGCTATTAATGTATATATATATATATATAAATATATAAATATATATATATATATGAAGACATAGTTCTGTCCGAGGATGTAGATGGCCAATTTTCTTCCGGCGTTACCTTTTTCTGTCCAGTTGCTTGCGTCATTATTTGCCTTTGTCACTGGGTGAGTTTTTGTTTCCCTATATTTCTCGTAACCTGCAATCACTGCCCAAAATAATTTCATCATCGAAAAGTGGCTTGAAGCATATTTGGTTTGCGCAAGAGTCCGATAATTAGATCCGGTTCGATTGTTTCGAGGCGGGTGCCACTCAAGTGCATAATACACGTTGTTCGAAGCGACAGCTTCATCGTCCGGTAGATTGAGTGTGCCTCGTTCTCCTAATGACATTACCTACCGGGGGGCATGGCGGTGGTCGATTCACTCGGTAGAAATAAACCTGTAGTGCAGTGAACATTCGTAGCTCACACGTAGGGTGGTCGGCAAAGTGACATCAAATGAACGGAGTGAGGGTACGTAGAAATAGTAACATTTCAAACTATGAAACCTGACTGCGTCTGGTAGGTTCGTGTTTGATGTCCCAATCAAACCTTTTGATGGACACAGCGTTGTCACAAAGTTGCCAACCGGAAAAGCAATCGCCTGAACGCATTAATCGTAGTTCCTGATAGTTTTGGAATCGGCCGGCTATTGCTATTCACGTGAGTCACCGAACAATTCACAACTTGACAGGTGCATAGTCAGAAGGCTTTGTTTGCATCCTCAGTAACTCGACAAACGCAAGTGCTATCGTGGGCGGTGTTCGGATAGTCCATATTCTCTCAGAAGTGTAAGAATTACATTGTGACGGAAAACTTGTCACGCACCGTTCAAGCAACGAAAGTGAAGGTGTGGAAAACAGGTAAACTGTTCGGGTTTTTTACAGTATGAGTTGTTTGCCGTATTTAGTGACAGGAATTAATGGAAATAGTGGTAACCCTTACAGTAGGTTTTTCATGACAGTCGCGATCAATTTGGTTACTACGTTCGGGTTTTTTACAGTATGAGTTGTTTGCCGTATTTAGTGACA